GACGTTCGTAATCCCTTTGAACGCACGCGAGACTTGTTCTCTTTCTCTCTTCTCTCCTTCTCTATCTCGTCTCGTTATAATAACGCGCAAATTTGCTGTAAAGCGCATCACGTATCGCTCTATTTTCTCGCGTGAGAGTGTTAACCTGGCGTTTAAATTTAAAAAAAAATTTTGTCGCGCGTAAAATACAAATTTCAATTTTTATTCCTCGCGTTATACGCATATCGAATGCATCGGTAATGACGCTTTTCTCGCGGCATCGAAAAATGCAAATTCGTATACAATTTTCATAAAATTCAATATTGAATGCACTCAATACACAGAGAAGTTCCTGGCGGCAAATCGCCAGGCTTTGTGCGAAATAACCGTATTGAGGCTTTTTCTGCAGTAAAATAGAAGGACAGAGAGAGATATTCCTCTCCTCTTGCAAATAAAAATGCTGCTCGCCGATAACGCGAGCACAATAATTTACCAGTAATATTATTTAAAAGGTTCGCAAAAATATTTGAAAAATATAGGCATTTGTTCTACTTTTGAAACTTTGAAACACTGAATTAATTCATATATTTTATTATATATTATTCTTTATTATTATATTTATTATATATTAAAAAATATTCATAAATATTAATAAAATATTATATATTATTATTAATAATATAAAAAATGAAAATAACAGGAAAATTAAGAAAGAACAAAAAATACAAAAATTTTTAATCATGCCTCTCCTCTGAAAAAAAAATCCTGCGGACGCCCATAATTTTTGGGCAGTCGGTGGTTTCGTCTGCCACTCATCAACGAAATGCGCAGATAAAAATAATAATAATTCATGCATGACATAGACTCACTCACCAATCGCTGCGATGCTGATTAATCGATTTACGTTGATTAATATCGGCGACATTTTTACACGTGTCGTGCTGCGTTGTTCGCCAACCTTGAAGTCAGCCTTTTAGAGGACGGGGAAAACCGCGATGAATCGACGTCATCAGCGCGCATTCTTTCTTTTAATCCGTGTTGCGTAATCTGAAAAAAGGGGGTTGACTAGTATTATCAAGATGATCGTTGCTTACGCTCGCAAAAGAGTGTGCCGTGCTGAGCACGTAGAGCAAATTAACCCAGAGGTTAATTGGGTTAGCCGGCGTATCACCGCCTCCGACTGTCCCTCGGCCTCTGCTGCTGCTGCTCGGCTGGCTTGATGGCGGTGTGTAAGTGCGATACGTACATTAATTTCTTTGTTAACCGTTTACCCGGGCTTAATTTTCCTCTAAAAGCCTCTCGTCGACCGCCCCGTTGCTGTTGCTGACAGCGGTTATAATAATAATGACGATGCTGACGCGGAAAAGGAGCAGTGCCATTAATTAATTACAATCGCTTGTATAGAGAATTTACCTTGATAAAAATCAAATTTCACAACGCGAGGCGCCAAATTTTTTTTCCCTCGCTCATATATTTATTTTCTTAATTAACTTTCCACACGAAGGTTCTTTAAACATTCAATAACCAGTCACCATAATAGTTTGAAAATTTAAAAGAATTATTGTATACAATTTTAATAAATAATTTAATAATTTAATCAAATAAATAATAATTGAATAATAATCACCAATAATAACAGTCATCAATAATAATTTAAAAAAAAAAACAATAAATCTTGTCTTTACTATTTTTGATTTTTCCGTATATATTCCATACATATATATTTTTGGATAAAATGTGTATTAATCTTTATAAATTAAATTTAAATCCATTGCAATTTGTCTTTAAATTTAAATTACAAATTTTAAGTTATTTATAAAATTTATTTATAAAAAATATTTTAAAAGTAAATAAATAAATTTATTTTAAAAAAATTAAATTGAAAAGCATTTTCCCTGCCTGCATTTTCATGAAATCGCCAATATAAAATTTAATTACCTGCGATATTGTATTTCTTTTTGCTCGCACTACGATAATTAATACAGCCAAGGATCCATATAGCAAAGAGGGAGAGAGACTCGGAGGCAAAGGACGGGAATAGCGGAAGTGCGAGCCTGTCCGAGCGGAAACGCGACATAATAACGACAACGCGCACGACGAGCCGTCCATCTTCCGCGTCGACGAAGATGTGCGATAATGGACTAAATTAACGCACGGTCCTGTCTATCTGACGAAACAACAGCAGGATGTTTCCGATGTTTTCCAAGCCGTATGATATAATTATCGTCGTTAACAAGGAAACTCTGGCATCGATCGGATCGATCCTTTCGTCGAAATTCGCAAAGACGGTTCTTCCCCCGTCAAGATCGCATTTTGAAAGTATATATTGTATGCATTATATAATGCAAACATCCATGATGAAAATAAATTCACTCACTGGTTCATCCAATCCCGCCAATTTCCGTCTCGCGCTGCGCCAGATCCTATGTCCTCGAGAGAAATCCTGTGGGAGATGTATATCGATTAAAATTTGATGCGATGATATAACCTTGTAGATTATTATAATTCGATCGCGTGCTATTGTCGCGTCTCCTTCGAATTTATGTCACGTACTTTAATTATATCAATGTAACGCAAGAGATTATTCTTGCACACTTAAGAATATAATAATTCATAATGACTCCGGAGAGAAAAGGCGCGAATTCAATTTCGCGATTCAATTCCGTGACTAATTGTTGACACAGACGGAAGGATGAGAGTGGTCATCCCCTCGATTTAGCTTAACCGGAATTCAAAGCGCCTCTATGTGCAAAACGTGCACATTGAACTACGTAGCCATGTGCACGATGCTCCCGAGTGGTAATAGGCTATATGCACGGTACGTGGTTCGATTCCGTGCTATGTGCACAGATGAGCGCCAGTAACACGTAGCTGTTAAAGGAGATGAGTTCGAGACCTTGCAGGGCCAATTTTTTTTTTTTTTTTTTAGTACGACTATATTGTCAATTTAATGAAATCCATATAATATTGTGGAATAAAGAGATAAAATGCATTTCTCAAGCGTACGCGAGAATCTCGAAATCAAAAATGAATGAGTGCCGTATAAATACGTATGGAATAGAGCGTTATGTCGAGTGGCGCCCTCTGTCGTGCGCTGCCGGGGCTAATACACGAATATCTCCAACATTAGAGGTTCGATTCTCAAGGAGTGACTTTTTTTTTAATGTTTTTTTATTTTAAATAAAATTTTTTTTTACCATAAAATGTAATTTTTACACAAAATAAATGTAAATAACACGATTTATTTACTTATAACACGTATATTACAAAAATGCATTTTTCTTTGCCTCAAAAAGCCGTGAAAAGCCGTCTGTAGAATAGCTGTATGCGATAGGAACTTGTATGATTATCTGTTTAATTAAAAATTATCCGATTTATGTCGTGTTTGGTGTCGTTGAAATCGCAAAAATCTCAATAATCCATTAATATTATTTTCGAATAGATAAAATGCAAAATAAAGGTTTTAGTTTTTCACTTATAAGATGTTTATATTTGTGAATTGCCATGGATGGGGAAGCCTATTGTTCGAGAGTTCGGAACGTTCTTTGATCTCGATACTCGGGCGCTCGGGCCCGCTTATCTTTTCGAGCTCATCTCACAACTCGTCGTGTGCGAGAGAGAAAGCGAGACTGCGAGTATAGAGCGAGCGAGAGGACCTATCATCAAAGAAAGTTCCGAACTCTCGAACAATAGGCTTCCCCATCCATGGCAATTCACAAATATAAACATCTTATAAGTGAAAAACTAAAACCTTTATTTTGCATTTTATCTATTCAAAAATAATATTAATGGATTATTGAGATTTTTGCGATTTCAACGACACCAAACACGACATAAATCGGATAATTTTTAATTAAACAGATAATCATACAAGTTCCTATCGCATACAGCTATTCTACAGACGGCTTTTCACGGCTTTTTGAGGCAAAGAAAAATGCATTTTTGTAATATACGTGTTATAAGTAAATAAATCGTGTTATTTACATTTATTTTGTGTAAAAATTACATTTTATGGTAAAAAAAATTTTATTTAAAAAAAAAAAATATTAAAAAAAAAGTCACTCCTTGAGAATCGAACCTCTAATCTCGACGGTACGTGTCTAGCCCCTTAACGCTACGCCACACGCTCTTCGATATAACGCTCTATTCCATACGTATTTATACGGCACTCATTATTTTTGATTTCGATTTTCTCGCGTACGCTTGAGAAATGCATTTTATCTCTTTATTCCACAATAATTAAAAGGATTTCATTAAATTGACAAATATAGTCGTACTAAAAAAAAAAAAAAAAAATTGGCCCTGCGAGGTCTCGAACTCATCTCCTTTAACAGCTACGTGTTACTGGCGCTCATCTGTGCACATAGCACGGAATCGAACCACGTACCGTGCACATAGCCTGTTACCACTCGGGAGCATCGTGCACATGGCTACGTAGTTCAATGTGCACGTTTTGTGCACATAGAGGCGCTTTGAATTCCGGTTGCAGCTAAATCGAGGGGATGACCACTCTCATCCTTCTCTCTGTGTGCACATAGCACGGAATCGAACCACGTACCGTGCACATAGCCTGTTACCACTCGGGAGCATCGTGCACATGGCTACGTAGTTCAATGTGCACGTTTTGTGCACATAGAGGCGCTTTGAATTCCGGTTGCAGCTAAATCGAGGGGATGACCACTCTCATCCTTCTCTGCTTCGGAATAAACAAAAAGTGCAAGAGAGTACAACTGCGAGGCGCAGATCAGCAAGTCACGTGTCCACGCTGCCAATTGGCCACGGCGTTTCTCGTCGACCAATCATAGTGTCCCTTGAAATAATAATATTAATAATAATAATAATAATAATAATAATAATATAAATAAAAAAATAAAATAAAATAATAAAATAAAATAATATAAATAAATATATGTAAATAATAATTTCAACACTAACCAATCAGAACGACGCACTCCTCGGTTCCGATTGGTCGGGCGAAACGCGCTCTTGAGTTTCCTCGCTACATCAACTCGCACAGTCCGCGACTTACAGCTCTCATCATGGCACACGTCAGCACATCGCGCCCTCTGCTCGCCTCCTTCGCGTATTTGTATATGTGATGTGGAGTGAGCGGTTCTCCCATGTGAGAGAGTAACGCTTGACTTTTCATCGCCAGGCGTTTTCGAATTAACTCGTCAGGATGGTGAGTGATCGTGATTCCCCGGGTGTTCGTCTACGCGAGTCGAAATCCGCCGGCGAAGACGCCGTCTCTTGGACGAAGGCGGATTCGACGTCGCACAGATGTCATCCATTAGCCAGCGGATCTCGGCGAGCCGCGATTGTCCCCGCAAACGTCACCGGCCGAATATACACGTCGGAATATTCAGCCTTGCCTCTTCTCTTTCCAGGTACTCATCGCCGCCGCGGTATGCACCAAAGCCGGGAAGAGTAAGTGAAACACGATACCCTCGACGCGTGTCTGTATACGTGTCTGCGTTCCGATAGCAGATCTCGCCCGGGGCTCGATTAAGATAATCACATGATTATATCGTGACGTTTCTTTGCTCTCTATTCGCGGAGAAACAAGCGTCAATTGTGTACATAAGCGGGCGACTCGTGAAAAATATTTCTGTCATGCTGGATTTGTTTGTTGTAATTTGAAAAAATTTTTTGTTTATCTTTGCAACTAGATTCACTTTTTTCCAGCTATAATTTCTCGACAATTCGTCGAAATGACGAAGGCGAGAATAGAGGGCCTACTCGCTGCGTTCCCAAAACTGATGAGCTCGGGTAAACAGCACACATTCGTGGAAACTGAGTCCGTTAGATATGTTTATCAGCCTCTAGAGAAAGTATATATGCTGCTCATCACAACTAAGGCCAGCAATATTTTGGAGGATCTGGAAACCTTGAGACTCTTTGCGAGAGTGGTAAGTAGATCATTCCATTGTGGATGCAAGTAATCGTCAGGAAAATTTTATTATGCGACAGTGTTACGTGTATGAAACCTTTCAGATTCCAGAATATTGCAGCTCGATGGACGAACTTGAAATAGCAGAGAACGCGTTCAATTTGATATTTGCATTTGACGAGATAGTTGCGCTAGGCTATAGGGAGAATGTTAATTTAGCACAAATCAGGACTTTTGTAGAAATGGATTCGCATGAGGAGAAGGTTTATCAAGCAGTGAGAATGACGCAGGAGCGCGAAGCTAAAAATAAGATGCGCGAGAAAGCTAAGGAATTGCAGAGGCAAAGAATGATGGAGGCTAACAAGAAGGGTGGAATTAAAAGTCCTGGATTTGGTGGAGGATACGGAAGTGGCAGTGTTCCAGCTACTCCGGCTGTCGGTGATACAGCTAATTTCGTGCCTGAACCAATTAGACCTTCCTATAAGCCCAAACAGTATGATTAATTCTAATTTACCAGACTCTAATTATGTATGTAATTATTTTCAGTCTCTATAATATCTGATCTCTTTTTATTCAGAAAGTCAACCAACGTTGGAACGGGTGCAATGAAATTGGGTGGCAAATCTCGCGATGTGGACTCCTTTGTTGATCAATTGAAGGAGGAAGGTGAAAATGTTGTATCAGGACCTCTTGCTGCTCCTGGGACGAAATTGACACCAATCAGTCCTCAAATAATGAACACAGAATTGTACGTAATTTCATAGATGCATGCGTATATAAGAGAAAAACTTAAAATATGTATTCATACAAGCAACAAATCGATTTAAACAAACACATTTTCATTAAAAGGGTTCACCTGAGGCAAGAGGAGAGACTTAACGTACGTGTCGGTCGAGACGGAGGTTTACAGAACTGCGAGTTGCACGGCTTGGTGACTTTACACATCTCTGACGAAAAATGGGGACGTATCCGCGTGCAAGTTGAAAACAAGGACACGAGAGGCATTCAGTTACAGACTCATCCAAACGTGGACAAGGAATTATTCAGAGCGCATGGTCAAATAGGTCTGAAAGTACCCACAAAACCATTTCCGTTAAACACTGATGTTGGTGTGTTGAAATGGCGTTTCCAAGCCCAAGACGAGGCAGCACTACCAATTTCGAGTAAGATTCATCAATTATATGCATAAATCAATTTTGTTAAGTTTTATAAAAAAAAAAGGTCAAAGAATATACATATGTAATTAATGTAATTTGTAACAGTAAATTGTTGGCCTTCTGAAAACGGAGAGGGCGGCTGCGACGTGAATATCGAGTACGAATTGGAGCAGGCCGATCTCGAATTGAACGACGTCCAGATAAACATTCCTCTATCTATCGGATGCACTCCTATCGTAAGCGAATGCGACGGACAGTATACCCACGAGGGACGACGAAACACGTTAATCTGGTCCTTACCGGTGATCGATGCTTCAACAAAATCTGGCTCGATGGAGTTTTCGGCCCCGTCTTCTACACCCGCAGATTTCTTCCCACTTCACATTACATTTACATCTAAAACGCCGTATGCCAAAATCAAGGTATACAATACATGAATTTATTGCACAAATTACAAGATATACATCAATCCACGTAAAATTAATAATTATATTATTTTCATTACATTAATTAATAATTATATTACGTTCCAGGTTAGCGAAGTTTTGCTGGTAGAAGATGACAGCCCCGTTAAGTATTCAGTAGAAACTGTATTCTTTACTGATAATTATGAAGTTGTATAAGAAAGAATAGATAAAATATTTGCGCATATATAAGAGAATATGGAAATAGAGGCACAGTTCAGAAAATGGAAGGTATAATTTTACAATTAATAATCCATATTGATTACTGTTCGAGTTTTAATTTTATTGCCATAGTCATTCCTTGATGATCGATGAGCATATGTTGCTATATTTATATACATACATAATACATATCTTTTTATTACTATATCATTTAATAGCTGTCCGGTGCCGAATACGTTTGTAAAAAAGAAGATATATCCTAATTAGAAAAAATTGGATCGTGAAAATTTATCGTACATATTTACTTTTTATTTGATAAACATATATTTTAGTATATTTGCAATAACACGCCTGAGAAAAGGATTGTATTATTACCAAATATATATATATCGAATTTTGTTACTCGTTCGTAAGTTTATATACCTCATATCTCAGTAAATATTTAACACTTATTCATCATTTCTCTTATTACAATGTTGAAAAGATCTATTATAAAAAATTTTTTTCTTTTGCAGTCACACAAAGATGTTGCTCTTAATATTTTTATTTCTAAAAGTATACATATACAAATATTTACAATCATTAAAATATATATAAATAATTGTTACAATTCATCTGTTGGCATATTTATAATTTGTGGTATCAGGTGATTCTCAATAACTGCTTTGGCTGCAAAGAATAAATCCAGAGTAAATAAACTACACTTGTATAATAATTTTTATGTTTAAGTGAATAAAGTTGCTTACCATTCATCGAATTATTCATAATAGCTGCCTTGTAAGCACTTATATTCGAAGAATTAGTATATGTTACTTCTGCACCCTTTGTTAACAATTCATAACACACACGTGGATGATCGAAATATGCTCCATAGATTAGTGGTGTATTACCATCCTATGTCAGAACAGAGATTATTAATATCTAAACACCAATAAATTATTAGATTTTCAGATTTTGTGTAAAAATGCAACATGTATACCTCATCGGATGTGTTAGGATCAGCACCATGATTTAACAATAGTTTAACAACATCGTAATGACCGTAAGCAGCTGCCAGATGCAAACTCGTCTCCCCTTTGGTCCACGACGATTTATTTTGGCATTCCATTTGAGCAACTGTCTAATAGTACCTAATTGTCCATAAGCAGAGGCCCACATTAATGCTGTCAACCCCTTCTCATCAGTCGCATCTACTGAATCTGTACAATACAATTAATTATTCCATTACATATTTCTATAATTATATTATTTTTATAATTATTACAATTAAAAAAGATTAAGTATACACTGTACAGATATTAAATATTATATACTTGAAGATATATGCTCGTGGGTAAGTTCCCCTTGACCCGCCAGAGTATGAAATGTGATATTGTTCTCCACATACAGCTGATGTATCTGGGTTTGAGTGTTGCCTCTTTGCAGATTTGTCAACAGGGTGGGTGGCTGTGCATATGACACAAATATATTTGCACAGGTAAAGAATGTAAATATTTCATTCCATCCATATAAATCTTACAATAAAATATTATTAATATTATTATAATAAATAAATTTCCCTCTTGATTTATATGTATTTTCATTTAATCCATTTATATAATTTCATTGACAAGTGTACCTTGTAGGGCTGAAACGCGCTCGTCCTGGTGGCGTCCTGCCACGCTCCTGGGGCCCACTGCCACTTCCTCTCGATCGGCTCCGACTTGCAGCCGATGCTCACGTTCTCCGGCTTGCAGAGCAGAGGCTTCGGTCGTATCCCGATCGCCGAAGCATCGAGGGTGATGCTTTTGCTGCTCTCGCTGGAACATCGGTCCTCCTTCACGTCCTCCTCGTCCTGTTCCTCCTCCTTCATGATCATTTCCGAATGAACCTGCTTCTCCATAATCGTTGAACGCAGATTTTCAGGGGAACCATTTATGTATAAAATACGTCGAGCTATTTTCAATTTTATTTTCCACTTTGTTCATTTAAATCGCAACAAACATGCAGATGTTTTTTTTTTTTTTTGGTTGTGTCGTTACCCGGTTGGAGAACTTATATCGTTTTTCACTGGGTAGCACCACAGATTAATAGACAGATCGCCAAAGGTCTGGATGAAGGAGAGACCAGCATTTCTCACTGATTTCAGCGCCATATCGTGGTAGTGGTCAATGCAGTAACTATTAATACGTTCCTAAGATGAGCGTCTCATGCTCATGAACTCGTCCGGCGGCATGTACGAGATTTATCTTTTCGTAGCGTTCGCGTATTTCGGAAAGGACAGAATTTTATGATGTTATAAATAAATAAATAAATAAAATATTAACCTGACCTATTATAATTATTTTTTAATAAATGTTTCATTATTATTATCATCTAAGTCTAAGTCGTTTAATTAATTTTTAGTTTTTTAATAATTAATTTAATTTATTCTAATCATTTTAATATGTGAAAAATACTAATACGTATACGTTTTATAATGAATTAATATATTTCGAGAGTCGAATTATATATTTTTAATAATATAAAAGTGTTCAAAAATTATATTTGACTTTTAATTTTAATTATTTTAGCAAAGAGTTCCGAAATCTCTTACACACATAATAGGGATTTTGTTCATCCATATAATTCGCAATTAAGTATATATGTTAATTATTAATTTTAATAAAATACAAAATTAAAATTAAAGGTCAAATATAATTTTTGAACATAAATATATTTAATTCGTTATAAAACGTATACCCGTGATAGTATTTTTCTCGTACAAAAATAATTAGAACAAATTAAATTACTCATAAAAAAATTAAAAAATAATTAAATAATTTATATTATATATGATAATAATAAAACATTTTATAAAAAAAACAGATTCAATAAATATAAGTATATATATAACATGTACTTATATTTATTGAATCTGTTTTTTAATAAAATGTTTTATAAGCTTAGAAAACTTGACTTTGACGTAACTAGCAAATTTTATTTAATTATTTCACGACGGTTTGACGTAATAAAATGTTTTATTATTATTATATAAAATATAAGTTTAAATTCTTTAAGGGGTTATACCTACCTGCAAGGTCTGAAAAACACGTATTTTGGGAATTTTTTTTTTAAATATTTGAAGTGCTTTGGAAAGGAACATTTATGTTTTCAAATATATATATTTCAAAGATTATTTAGTATTTTTTTATTGCAAAATGTTGATAAATAAAAAAGATATGCTTAATCTTCCAGAAGCAGTTTTTTGAAAAGCGTTTTGCGGTGACCACTCTAACTTTGAACTGGTTTACCAGAAATCAAAAAACCCGAGAAATTTAGTTAATATATAAGATTATCTAGTGCCCGATCGTTCATTTTTTTGAAAAATTAATTTGCGACAAAATGGCGGCTGTTCAAATTTGAAGGTATGATTTTGCTACCAAAAATTCGCTCGTTTTTTTATTATTAAAAAAAAATACGCAACGAAAAAACAAAAGCCACGATCGGGCACTAGATTTTTTAGTATTAAAGATGTCTACCAAATTTTATTTCAATCGATGCAGCGGTTTTCGAGATATTTTGGTCACCGATTTTAAAAATGCTGTTTTGAGAAAAACGCATTTGAAGTTTCAAATTAAGTTCACAACCAAATAATATATTTATATATATATTTATATATATTTATATATATTATTTATTTATATATATTTTGGCTTTGTATAGAGACCGCTTTTGTCCGCGTCGCAGCTGCCGTTCGATACCTGAGACCCGTTTCTGTACCCTGCTTCTAAACAGCAGGATACGTTCACACCAGTATACCTTTAAACTCACATAACTTCGTTAATTTTTGTCGAATCGACTTGAAATTTGCAGGGAATATTTTTGAAAGTATGTACTTTAAGAAAATATCAAAATCCAAAAATCGATTTTTTTGAAGTTTGCAGATAGGTATAACCCCTTAATTAATTTTTAATCTTTTATGATTAATTTAATTTACTCTAATTATTTTTGTACGAGAAAAATACTATTATGGGTATACGTTTTATAATTAATTTAATATATTTGTGTTTAAAAATTATATTTGACCTTTAGTTTTAATTTTTATTTTATTAAAATTAATAATTAACATATATACTTAATTGCGAATTATATGGATGAAAAAAATCCCCATTATGTGTGTAAGAGATTTCGGAACTCTTTGCTATAAAATAATTAAAATTAAAAGTCAAATATAATTTTTGAACACTTTTATATTATTAAGAATATATAATTCGGTTCCCGAAATATATTAATTCATTATAAAACATATACGTGATATTATTTTTCTCATATAAAAATGACTAGAATAAATTAAATTAATTATTAAAAAACTAAAAAGTAATTAAACGACTTAGACTTAGATGATAATAATAATGAAATATTTTATTAAAAAAAGATTCAATAACTAGTAGGTCAGGTTATAATTTTTTATTTATTTATTTATAACATTATGAGCTATTAAGCTCATCATCTCGTTCGCTCTCTGTCTTGCTTTCATTCGGCAAGTCACAAACGATATATGATACTCGTATGTTCCTACTTCAACTCTCGAGAATCTGAAACAAACGAAACTCGTGTCCAATATACAGGGTGTCCGGTAACTAACAGACCAATGATTACAAATGGATTCTTTGGTCAATTTGGGAACGATTTTTCCTCAGCGAAAATGTCGAAAAAGGTCATCATTTTTTACAACTTTCCAATCTTTGTCATTATGTATCTTTATAACTAAGTCTTAAATTAAAATTTTATTATAGTAAACTCTACCTGAAATTAACTGAAGAATGTAATTATGTTAGACTTTTAACTCCAAAACGTTTAGTTTTCAAAAAACCTATTTTTTTCAATCGCTTATAACTCGAAAATTATTGACTTCTCAACATTTTTGCTAAGGAAAAATCGTCTCCAAATTGGCCAGAGAATCTGTTGAGAGGGACAGTAGGACAGGTACTCAACTTAATCGAGAGAACGAATGCGTTTCAGTCTCAAGTAAGATTATTTAATTGTTACTCTGGCTCAAAGATACAAGAAAGAATAGAAAAGAATTACGAGACAGTCACACGCGAGTCGCGGGGTACAGACAGTAACAACGTTAGTGAAACAAAAAAGAAGAGGGGAACGTCCCGTTCCCAAAAGATAGCGACACCTAACGGCGTAATGACAGCAAGATGTCATTACCGAACGCACTCGAGATCGTAATCCAATCAGAGAAGGACGATCTCTAACACTTCCCCTCGATACGAGAGCGTACGACCGTCAATGGTTAGTTTTTGACATCCAGCATTCCAGACAGTTGTATGCACTTCTCCAATTTAGGTCTGGGGAGGCTCTTAGTGAACATGTCGGCCACGTTGTCGTCGGTAGAGACATGATCGATACGAAGTTGCTTATTTGTCAGTGTCTCTCGGATGAAGTGGTGTCGTATTGCAATGTGTTTACTACGAGCATGAAATACTGGATTGTCAGCAAGCCTAAGGGCCCCGTAGTTATCGCTGTAGATGATTGTATCGGCCAGGTGGCCGAAACCCAACTCCTTGAGAAAAGCCGTCCAATAGATCGATTCCTTGGCTCCTTCGGTGAGTCCCATGTACTCTGCCTCGGTGGAGGATAAGGCTACGGTCCTCTGTTTCCGTGAATCCCAGGATATTGGACAGCCACCTAGCAAAAATATGAATCCGGAGTAAGATCGCCGATCGTCGCTGCAATTTCCCCAGTCGGAGTCGACGAATCCCTTCAGCGTTCCGGTTCCGGTTGTGTAGCTCAGGCCAAGGTCTAGAGTTCCCTTCAGATACCTGAGTACCCTTTTTGCTGCGATCCAATGGGTATGGTTGTAAGAGTTATTGAATTGTCCCAGACAACTCGCCGCGAAGCTTATGTCTGGTCGAGTTGTTATTGCTAAATACGTAAGACATCCCACCAGTTCTCTGTAGGGAACGTCCTCGTCAAGCTCGGACGGTTCAGGCTCCTTGGTTAATTTCTTGTTGATGTCCATGGGAGTGCTGACTGGTTTGGCGTCAGTCATGTTAAAACGTCTCAGGAGATCCATTATGTATCCGCGCTGATTCAGTGTCAGCCGGTTTTCTTCCTGAGTAAACTTCACTCCCAGGCAGTGTTTCACAGATCCGAGATCTTTAATGTCGAAGCGACTGGAGAGTACTTGTCCTAATTCTGCAATCGACTTCGGATCCTTTGAAGCGACGAGGAGATCGTCGACGTAGACAGCGATCAGGATGGTATCTTCCCCTTGCCCTTTGTAATATAGGCACGGGTCGCCGTTGGATGCCGTAGCTCCGAAACTGAGTAAGACTTCGCGGAGCTTTTCGTGCCATCGTCTTCCGGCCTGACGTAGCCCATAAATAGACTTTTTGAGAAGACACACTTTGTCGCCTTGGATCAGCTTGTTCAGCATGTTCTCCGCCTTCATTTTAATTGCGTGATCTCCTTCGGTCTTGATTATAGCGTTTAAGATGTTTTTTAGTTGATTCGGAGGTTCCATCAAAATCTTCTCCTCTAGTTCTCCGTTGAGATAGGCGGTGGTTACGTCAAATTGTTTTATGGTCATCTTGTAATTTGCGGCCAAAGCTGAAATCAAACGGATAGAACTTAGACGGGCAACGGGTGCGAAGGTATCCGTAAAATGGATTCCCGGTCTCTGCGCAAATCCTTGCGCTACAAGCCGAGCCTTTCTCCGCTCCAAGTGACCGTCGGGTCCGAATTTGTTACGCAAGACCATTCTGCTTCCTATAATTTGAGCGCCCTCCGGACGATTGACCAGCTCCCAAGTGTCGTTTTTGATGATCGATTGAATCTCTTGTGACATGGCCTCGAACCACTGTTCTGAGTCGGCACCCGCTAGCGCGTGCCGTATTGGTACTTCGGAGACCAGTGCGCTTTCCATCAAATCCAGATCAGCGTGCTGCACCACCTCGTTGTATGCTTTTCTTGGCCGACCGCGCTGTCCGGTTCTGACGATCCTCGGTCTTCCCGGTCCTCGTCTCATGGCTGGCAGTTCTGCGTTGGGAATATTCTCGTCTATGTCAGGCGGATCTTCGTCATCCTCCGCTGGTTCTCCATTCTCGTTGATATTATCAATATGAGGGTCCA